CGGTAGCAAGTGCCTGTAATACCAGCTACTTGGGAGGCTGAGACAGGAGAATTGCTTGAACCTGGGAGGCAGATGTTGCAGTGAGCCAAGATTGAGTCACTGCACTCCAGCCTGGGCGACAGAGCGAGACTCGAAAAAAAAAAAAAAAAAGGATTCAAGCTCCCATCTGCCAGGCAGGTATCCCTCTGAATTCTGATGAGGGTGGGGATCAGTCTCAGGGCTCCCCAAACCCTCCCCACGGGCCGTGCGCTCAGGTGGATATATTCAATTCCTCACTTCCGGGATCAGCCCATCCCCAGCTCCTTACGTGAGGGGCAGTCAGGAGTGGGGAGGTGGAGATGGCCGTGGAGGAGCGTGCCATGGGCCTGACAGGGCTGGAGGGGGGCAGAGAGCGGGGACTCTGGGAGCCGTCGCTGTCACTGCCGTGGCTGCTGGGAGGTGTCGGAGGCATCTGCACCAGGTCCTCTGGGAAGAGCAGGGGAAACCGGGTTAGCAACGTTGCACACCAGCTCCACCTGGACATCATGAGTTCAGCTGAGCATGGGCTTGCACCAGCCCTGACATTGTGGGACACGGACTGCCAGGCCCTTGGCCTCAGCTGTGACATCAGAAGCCCCTCTGCAGTGTCAGAAAGACAGTTGACATCCAGGTAGCCAATTCCTGGGTGCTGCCTCATCTGACACCACAGAGGCCCAGCTCCTTTACGGCTCGCCTTTGGTGTAGACATCATAGGAGCTGAATTATTGGGAGGTCCTCCCCGACCTCTGACTTCACAGGGTTCAGGATCTTAACCTCAGCAACTCCAGAAGGTCACTAAGCTCCAGCTCAGCAAGGTGAGTGGGGCCTTTCTCTCATAGGGTCAGGCTGGGCAAGCAGGAGCGATGGCAGCAGTAGATTGGGCAAGAAGAGGACTGGATGAAGGCCAGGTGCACTGGCTCACACCTGTAATCCCAGCACTCCGGGAGGCTGAGGCAGGTGGATCGCCTGAGGTCAGGAGTTCGAGACCAGCCTGACCAATATGGCGAAACCCTGTCTCTACTAAAAAATACAAAAATTACCCAGGTGTGGTGGTGGGCACCTGTAATCCCAAGTACTCAGGAGGCTGAGACAGGAGAATTGTTTGAACCTGGGATGGGGAGGTTGCAGTGAGCCGAGATCGCGCCACTGCACTCCAGCCTGGGTGACAGAGTGAGACTCCATCTCAAAAAAAAAAAAAAA